AGGCACCTTATTTAACATTATTAAGTTCGAGTATAATTTTTTGGCATCAAAATTTTTCATCGTACACGATATTCGAACTTAATAACTGTTAACTAAGCTCAAGTCCATTCTATTAATAATTTTTTTCTTTACACTTATTTTTTAAGTATATACAAACTATTTATTCAAATAAACATTAATATACATTAAAATGAAAAAAATGAAAAAAAAATTAAAAACCCGTGAACCCGGCGGGCCCGGCCCGAACCCGGCTCAACCCGCCGGGTTTTTGACCCGGCGGGTTAGGGCCGGTTCAGTGAACCGGCCCTTACTTACCAGCGGGCCGGGCCCGGTTCACTATATGCTAACCCGCCGACCCGGCGGGCCGGGCCGGGTTTCGACCCGGCCCGGCAAATGGCCATGTCTACACTGAATACGCACGAGGGGAACATCTCGCTTCCGGAGCCGACGAACCTGAAGGTCTAGTACAGCTACCGGTCGCTCCTCGTACGAAAGATCTGACTGAACCTGAATATCTGAATGAGGAATGACATGATCGGGGTCGCACACGTATTTACGCAACATAGATGCGTGGAATACATTATGAATGCCTGATAACTCGGGAGGTAGGGCTAATCGATATGCGACCTCGCCTACTCGCTCGAGGACCTCGAACGGACCGATGAATCGAGGGTGCAGCTTCCCTCTCTTTCCGAATCGAACAACTCCGCGAATCGGACGAACTCTGAGAAAAGCTGGCTCGCCAACCTCGAACTGAATATCTCGTCGATGATGATCGGCTGAAGATTTCTATCGACTCTGAGCTATCTTGAGTCTCTGCCGGATCAACTCGACCTGATCTGCGGTCTCCTCGATCAACTTAGGACCAAGTACTCGTCGCTCTCCGACGTCGTCCCAATAAAGAGGGGAATGACACTTGCGTCCGTAAAGTGCCTCGTAAGGAGCCATCTGAATAGAAGAATGATAGCTGTTGTTATACGCGAACTCGGCGTACGGCAACAACGACTCCCACTTAGCACTCCTGTCAACAACCAAAGCGCGAAGCATATCCTCAAGCGTCTGAATAGTCCGCTCTGACTGACCATCTGTCTCCGGATGGTAGGCTGAACTGAACTCTAGCTTCGTGCCCATCGCCTCATGTAAACTGTGCCAGAATCGACTGACGAATCTGGGATCTCTGTCTGGTACGATCGTAACGGGCACTCCGTGGAGTCGAATGATCCCACGGGTATATATCTCAGCCAACTTGTCCAAAGACATCTTCATCGAAACGGGTAAGAAATGAGCGACCTTAGTCAATCTGTCGACCACGACCCAGATAGCGTCGTGATGTTCAGACGACCTCGGCAATCCCGTAACGAAATCCATCGTGACTTCCTCCCACTTCCACCTCGGAATCGGTAGTGGTTGCAGGAGGCCGATCGGACTCTGATGTTCGGCTTTGACTTGCTGACAGGTAAAACATCTCCTGACGAACTCGGCAACGTCCTTCTTCATGCCTCGCCACTAGAACGACCCTTTCAGGTCATGATACATCTTCGTGCTCCCGGGATGGGCTAGATAGGGTGCGGTATGAGCCTCTGATAAAATCTCCTTCCGCAACGCCTCGACTTTCGGGACCACTATCCTGCCTCTGAACTCTAGGGCACCATCGACACCTAGCTGAAAACCCTCGACGCCTCCGGCGTGAACCTTGGCATCCATGACACGAATGAACTCGTTACAAGCATGTTCCCGCCGGATTCTCTCTCTTAGCGTCTGCTGAACCTGCATGCCACTAATACTGGCACTGACACTCCCCGAAAGGGCTGTGGGAAGTGCATCAATCGCCTGAAGCTGCATCCGAGCAAACTCCTGAATCAGTGTACTCTGCTGAGTAACGACGTACGTCAAGTCACCCCTCACCTTTCGGCTTAGGGCATCTGCAACGACGTTCGCCTTCCTCGGATGATACTGAATCGAGCAATCGTAATCCTTGACGAGCTCGAGCCAACGGCGCTGTCTCATGTTAAGCTCCTTCTGCGTAAAGATGTGCTGCAGGCTCTTATGATCTGTGAAAATCTCACAATGACCGCCGTAAAGATAATGTCGCCAAATCTTAAGGGCATGAACCACTGCTGCTAACTCTAAGTCGTGCGTCGGGTAATTCTGCTCATGCGACTTAAGCTGACGTGAAGCATACGCGACGACCTGGCCATCCTCCATAAGGACGCATCCCAAGCCCTGTCTCGAAGCATTGCTGAAGATGGTGAAACTCCAAGAAGGATCGAGAATAGTCAACACCGGTGAAGTTAATCTCTTCTTGAGCTCCTGAAAGCTCGACTCACATCGGTCAGTCCACTCGAACCTCACAGACTTCCTCGTCAGCTGGGATAAAGGGAGGGCAATCTTGGAAAAGCCCTCGATGAACCTGCGATAATAACCAGCTAGACCAAGAAAATTGCAAACCTCGGACGGACTCCTCGGTGTCGACCAATTTTGAATAGCTGAGACCTTGGAAGGATCCACCTCGATACCTGCCTGAGTAATCACATGACCCAGAAAGGCTACTCGCTGGAGCCAGAACTCGCATTTGGAGAATTTTGCAAACAACTTTTCTCGTCTGAGGGTTTCGAGAACCACCCTCAGATGCTCCTCATGCTCCTTCTGGCTCTTCGAGTAGATAAGAATATCGTCAATAAAGACAATAACAAGCTGATCGAGGTAGGGATGGAAAATACGATTCATCAGGTCCATGAAAACTGCTGGAGCATTGCTGAGACCGAATGGCATGACGACGAACTCGTAATGGCCGTAACGAGTCCTGAAGACGGTCTTAGCGATATCTGACTCCTTAATCTTCAGCTGGTGGTAGCCTGATCGTAAATCAATCTTTGAGAACACACAGGCTCCCCTTAACTAATCAAATAAGTCGTCGATCCTGGGAAGCGGATACTTGTTCTTAATCGTCAACCGGTTAAGATCCCGGTAGTCGATACACATGCGCATGGATCCGTCCTTCTTCTTGACAAAGAGAACGGGTGCTCCGCAAGGTGACACGCTCGGTCAGATAAAACCGAGTCGTAATAACTCTTGAATCTGCGCCTTAAGCTTCTGCAACTCCTTCGGCGCCATACGATACGGAGCTTTGGATACTGGACCGGCTCCTGGAATGAGATCGATAGAGAACTCCACCTGCCGGTTAGGCGGTCCTCCTGGAAGCTCGTCTGGGAACACGTCCACAAACTCACGAACAACTAGGACATCGTGAGGTGATCGTGCTTTCTGAGAATCGTCGACAAGGCTCACCAGATAACCCTGGCAGTTGCCTCGTCACAGCAACTTAGTGGCTTTCGCCATCGAAACAACATGAGGCAATGAACGATTCTTGCTACCAAAGAAAGTGATCGACTCGTCTCCCAGAAGATAGAGAGTAATCTCCCGGTCATGACATTTGATATCTACATGATAAAAGGATAGCCAATCCATTCCGAGAATAAGGTCAAAGTCCCTCATCTCGAGAACAAACGCGTCGGTAGACAATACTCGGCCACCGATGGAAAGGCTAAGATCTGAAGCTTTAGCTGAGGTCACTATCTTTCGTCCCGAGGCCAAACTCACCTCGAGAGGATCGATAGTGGTGGTAGCGCGAACTCCGATGGCATCAAGACATCGGCGTGAAATGAAAGAATGTGTCGCTCCAGTATCAAACAAAGCAAACACATAAACATTATTAAGCACAACCATCCCTGACATAGTACCTGGCTGCTGCTCGGCCTCTGCCTGATCAACTGCATAAACTCGGGCCTGCTGTCTGCCCCTCTGCTGCTGCTGCTGAGGCGGCCTCTGTGCCTGTTGACGGGGATGCTGCTGCTGCGGTGGCTGTTGAGGCTGCTGAGGCTGCTGCGCCTTCTTCGGACAACGGTTCGCGAAGTGTCCGGGCTCGTGACAGTAGTAGCATACATCTTGACCAAAGCGACACTCGCCTCGGTGAAGTCGTCCGCATGTCGGGCACTGTGGAATCTGCTGTAGCCTCCGCCGGGTCCTCTTGTCCATCGGGGCATCTTTCCCCTTCCTCTTGTTGGTCTTCGGTGGCTGGGCAGTGACTGGTGACATCGGTGGAACTGAAGATGACTGAGCAGGGGAAGATGGCTGAGAACGATCACGGACGGCCTCCCTCCTGATGCTAGCGTCCACCTCCTGGGCAATCGAAACTGCACGAGCGTACATCTGTGTCCCGTGGCCTACGATGTTATGACGGACTGTGGGGTGAAGCCCGTCAATGAAGCGCTGTGCTCTCTGGGCCTCCGTGCGAACCAAGTCAGGAACAAAAGCTGCAAGTCTAGTAAACTCCCTCTCATACTCGTCAACAGTACGAGTACCCTGCTGGAGCGATAGAAACTGACGCTCTATCTCTGCTCTGTAGTAGCTGGGGTAGTACTTCACACGGATCAGCTCCTTGAGACTATCCCATGTACAACCCTCCTTTTCGCCGGGACGCATGCTCCAGTAGGCATTCCACCAGAGCCGGGCATCACCGGTGAGCTGAAGCTGAGCGCAGATTACGCGATATCTATCTGCGCAATCCATGACCTCGAAGATAAACTCAAGGCCCTGAAGCCACTCGTCCACAATACGGGGATCTCCCTGCCCAGAGAATTTTTTTGCATGATAGTCGCGGAACTGTGCGACTACTGTGGCCTGAGTAGGAGCCGGATGATCGGGTTCCCTACGGGGCGGCATCTGAACATTGAGAAAGTTCAACATTATTGAACACGTGATAATATTCTGACTGATTACTAAGGCACACAAATCTCTTGACGAGTCGCCAAAAATGGCCGATAAATACTGACATGAATCCTGAGGAACTCTAGAGTCATATCGAAAGATACTAAATTCTAGAGTCATATCTGAGTATACTGATCTCTAAAGTCATGTCTGAATATTCTAAATTCTTAATCTGATTCGAGCATCTTAACTAAGTTCTGATAAACAATTTCTGAGCATAGACAAAGTAATATGTTTATAACTGAAAACTAAATCAGCACTTACCTGTAGTCGGCGAGGCGTGAGCGTGACAGTTCAGGTTTTTCTGAAAATTACTGACTGAAAAACTTTTCAGAGACGCAGAAACGTGCTCTGATACCAATTGTAACACCCCGACTTTTTACTGAAATCAGAGTACGCATTTTTCGTAATTTTTCTGAATAAATAAAATATTAATTTTTTGAAAACTGATTCGGGATGCTACCGTGAAAACTTGACTTTTCTGAAAACCGTTAAATTTTGAACTGAATAATAAAACGATTATGATATATTAACCGACTAAAGTCAGATCAAAAACTGAGTTTAAGTACCGAAAGTTTTTAGCGGAATAACAGCGTGGCAAAACATATATACATATATCACAAATATCCTGAACAGCCCGTCAGCTCACTCCTCGTCCCCGACCCTGCGACCTAAAAAAAATGAAATGCGTGGGGGCGTGAGCACTATGGCACTGTGCTCCGCAGAAACTCATACTAATGTAAACATTGAAAATAATAACAAAATCACGATCCTGGCATATATAACTGAACTGAAACTGAAACTGAAACTGATATCTGATACCAGTCTGATCTCGCGACATAAGTCACGTAACTGATAACTAAACATCTGTCGGCACAAACTAATACCGGAATCTGCCGGCACAAACTAATATCGGACACCATGTGCACACTCTAGTGGGCAGATTAGGCCACTAGAACCCAGAATGGACCGACGACCATTCCGAG